ATCAGTTTCAGAAATGCAATGCGGTGGTCAGGCCTCTACATCAACTATGAAGTGGACTCCCCAAAAGGACATTGGTCCATCTGGCCCCCTAAGAAATGCTTACAACATTATTGATTGTATTCCTCGGACTGTCTTTTTCTATCCCTGAGGCCATATTGCATTTACCAATTTGTATTGTCTCATCCCTTCCCCTCTCCTTCATCCCCACCCCCTCCCAACTAACAACAACACAATTTAACTTTTAAAAAATTATTATTTCATGTTACACGAGAGTGTTGATCATAGGATTATTGAATTGTTGGGGCTTTGCTGTTGAATGAGCTAGGAAAGGTACTACTCCTAGTAAATGAAAGATGAGGGCAAATGAGAGACGTTAGAGGGAAAGGAACATGTCATTGGAGGGCACACAGTAGTTCCCACAGCTGGTGGACTTACTAGATGACTAACGCTAATGGGACTCTGGCTTAGTCTTTTGTATTTGGGAATGGGTTAGCCTGGACTCCTCTTGAGTCTGTGGGCTGTTCTTTGTTTCTTGACCAACACAGAGCTTCTCCTAGGCTGGAGGACCTGGGTTCATACCAGGGCCCTCACAGAAGCTTGGGTTGCCACTTGGAATTCTCCCCTGTGCTACTCAGCTTTGTCAAGAGAGCACTAATTCAACCCCTTGAATAAATGTCTCCCTCAACCCACAGGACTGCGCTAAGTGAAACACTGTTCTACACAGGGAAGTTTACAACATCTGAGCATGCTCAACATCTCTTCTGTGACTAAGTCACCAGTCTCCAGGTCTGGTGCTAACTAGGAGCCAGCATGCCAGGAGCAGCCTGACCCTTTATGCCATAGTCTAATTTCTGAGGGAACAGAGAGGAGATGCTACCAATGAAATTCTTGCATGAATGAGTTATATTCTTCCTTTGATTAGCTATCTTACTACCAGGAATAAGCAAGTCATGTGGCATTTATGTTGATGTTAGGGGGAATAAATGGCCCTTTGCAATGAATGGACTTATTGTACACGCAAAATTCCAAAGGCATTTTGGTATAGTCGAGGTTCTAAATATTGTGTTCCATTGTGCCCAGAAGCATATTAATACTTAAGCATCATGTATCCCAACTTTTCATCCCAGAATATTATTACACTAATTATGTAGGTTACAGAAATAGAAAATTGACCCACATGGATGATCCTAGAACAACACCCTGGCCAGGTGTGTGGCAACTACATCTAGAAAGGTATTTCAAGAGGCATGTTTGTTCTTCTGCTAAACACTGTAAGAGTTCTATGATGATCTTCATTGCTGTATATTAACATTATTTCTTTTCCTGTTCCTTCCCAGGTAGGAAATAAAATGCCTTTCAATTGGCGGCCTCTACTCTGTGAGTGACTGTGACAACATAGGGTATCCTTACCCTTGAAACAAGAAGAGGTTGACATAATTGTAGCTCTTTGTGAGGAAGTTTCCAAGGACTCGTGTGGGGTATCCACAACGGATTTGGTAGGCAGACAACCCGAAGTAAACACATTTCACAAAATACCAAAGCTGAGCAACCAGGTTCTGGCTGAATTTCCTAAAATATAAAAAATAAGGAAAGTGAGAGAATGGAATGTTCTTTTGGTACAAAAGGATACCAGTTTAGGATTAAAAAACAAAACAAACACACAAAAAAACCCTAATTGCCCCTTTGGCATTTAAGTCAATTCTAAGGTATTCTCTATACATAGTTGATCACTTCAAAGGCAAAAGATAGGGTAATAAAATCTAATAAGTAAAAAAATAATCCTACGAATGATGCCTCTAAGGTACTAGTGCATTAGTTAGTTGTTTAGGCCATAATTAAAATAAATTACTGTTAAGTAAATTTACTAAAAACATTTTCTCACAATGTGGACGCTGCTGCTACCCTAGTCCAAATTAAAGCTCAACAAAGAAAAACCAAAATGCATAACCGTGGTATTGTTAAGTTCATGAATGCTGGCCTAAGTTTGATCAAAAACAGTGGAACTAAATATCACAGTAGAAAAAAAATTTGGAACACATTTTCAAAGAATGATGAGCTATAGGATTTTTTTTTTTTTTACTTTGGATAAACGCAGCATTCTTCAAGAGTCTTAAACATGGTCAGTACAAAATTTAAAAAGAAAATAAAAAATAAAACTTCTGAGTTTGTAATACCCAGGTGTAATCTTCCCTGTGCTTAAGAGTAACGCTTGAATTTAAAAATAAATAAAATTTGGGCCAGCCGAGTGGTGCATTGGTTGGGAGCTGGCTTGGGACGCTGGCTCTGAGCAGCAGGGCCCCGGTTCAGATTCCCACATGAGGGCCAGTGACGCTGCCCTCTGCAGCTCGACCTAGAGCTGGGCTGCCGTGAGTCACCGGCGACGGTGTAGGCTTCAGCCCCTGCTGCAGTGCACACCATAATCTACTGTGTGTGGCCAGCAACCAGCATGAGCGGCCGGCAGCCAGTGTGAGCTGCCAAGAGCCGCGGTGAGCAGCCGTCCAGTGACCTGCGGTCGATCTGCCTCACCCAGGAAGAGCGCAATGATCATACCAACATGGACCAGTGGGGTGACGTCCTCCATAGCTAGACTGAAGGACAAAAGGACAGCAACTTGTTTGTTCCCCTTCCCCTGATTCCCCGGCGCTGTTCCCCTCCCCCAATTCCCCAATAAAATCTTTAAAAATAAATAAATAAATAAATAAAATAAATAAAAGTAGTGTACTACTCTTTTTTTTTTATTGCTGACCTTAATTTTTACTTAAATATAGTGATCTTTTAAGAGAATAAATTAAAAAAGAAACTTTATACAGCAAATATTTTACATAAATGTAAACATGCACATCTACTTCATAATTAAGCAAAATAAACTTTTCAGCACAAAATTTTAAAAATCATTAATGAATTAGACAATGAATCCAAGACAGAAATAACAGGAGCAACAAAAACAGACATTTCATAAAGCTTCAATTGGTCTTGTCTTCCAACCTACTGGTTAAGGCTTGAGTTTCAGAAATCCTACCTTCCTTGCCAAATGGAAACATCCAATTTGGCTGTACCTAATATATATCCACATAGAGTATTACGCTTTCAAAATAATGTAATAAATCTCTCCTTCTCTCTCTCTCTCTCTCTCTCTCTCTCTCTCTCTCTCTCTCACACACACACACACACACACACACACATACATACTATTTAACCAGCGTCTCAAATAGGGAAGTAAGGATTTGGAATTTTCAAGTTTTCCCACTATTGAAGCACACACATATTAATGCCACACATAGAAAAAATGATTCTGCTGCAGAAATAAAATAGTTAGTGAGTGGCATCATTACAAATCTCTAGTTTGTTTGTATTGGTTTCCCAAATCACGTCTTTACTGTGGTTTGCCATAGCTCCTCAGATACTTCAGACTTAAGTCTTTACACCTCACCTAATGACCCACGGAATGGTAGACATGTAGAACAAAGAAATGGCAATTTTAACAATTCAGTTAGAAACTTCAAAATTATATAAATTAACATGGATAGTTTTCAGCTGTCTCCAAATGCCTGGAGGAATGTTTTCTTTATGTATGTCTACCCTCTCTATTCCACTGGTAGGTTCTCCCTGCCTCCTTCCCACCAGGCTACAAGCATCTGAATGTCTATTCCTGTGGACCCCCCCCCCCAGGGGATAGACATGAGAATAACGGTCCCTGCTTTGAAGGAGTTCACACTAACCAGAGATCAAGCAAGGAGAAGGTCAGTATGTGCACACAGCACTGCAGTCAGTTGAAATGAACAGAGGCGAGTCCATGAAGATGGCACCCACAGTGCCTCAGGAGTAAGGTTTGGTGGGGGAGAGGGGGGGGGAGGAGAGATGAGAAGGCACAGAGGCATGAAGGACAAGTCCAGTTTGGCTGGCACGAGAGTACTCATGAGAAGTAGTCTGTAAGGCCAAACTCTTGATTTCCCAAAAGAAATGATTCCTTATTCTGGTAGGTAAAGCTGGCGTTGGGGTGGGGGGGGGAGGGAACACCCAAAGGCTTTGTGCAGAGAACCAAACTGGAGCCGTGCTAAGGACAAGCGTGCAGGCTTGGGTAGGATGGATGACAGGGGAGAGAGTCTGAAGCTCAGAAAGCTTGACCTGCCAAACCCAGTGCCACGTGCAAGCATTTCCTATAGAAACAAACATCTTTACCCGACATGCCCAAAACCACAGTTCTGTCTATATATGTGAAGACTTTGGGGGGGGGGGGAAGAGGCTTAAATAGATATTTTTAGTTCAAGTTCCTGGAACCTGCCCCAGATTGAGCAAGTTAAGAGCAGTAAAACATTCCCACATCCAGTAACAATTCAAGTGTCCCAATCATGACTATCACCCTCCCTGAGCTGTCATTACCAAGGAATTATAAAGCAGTTATCAATTCATTATAAATAAGTTCCTACCTGCCATTAAATCCACTGACACCTCATAATGGGCTGAGAACCCACCAGAGGGTCCAAGTGTGTGCCTGTCACCTACACTTGGTAGAGCGGTGTGAGTGTGCTGCTGGACAATGGCTGCTAGTCCCCGTCTCCAGCTCACTGGGTCGCTGGTTGAAACCAGGGGACTACAAGGCTCAACTCTAACCAAAGCCCCCACCATGAATCGAATTCCTTTCTAGGTTCACACTGCTTCCCTCCCCTAGATGGGGAGGGAGAGACCATCTGAGTAGAGGGACCCCAGGAAGAAAAATCATATTTAATGTTCTTGATACCCACTAAACCAAAGTAGACGGGAATTTCTCAGGACATATTCATTCAAATTACAGAAATGAGACCCCATTCTAATTATGAGACAATTTATCACACATTCACTCAGTATGGAACATTTACTAGTGAGTGCAGTTTCCTGCAATAACAGACTCATTTGGAAACTGCATACTACAGAAGGCAATCATGAGACTTTCTTTTAGTTGTATATAAAAATACACATCCGTCTGGGAGTCAGGCACAAACAGTGGTACAAAAGCATGAACAGAAATACCTTATCAAAAGAATGTGCTCATTTCATATTGCAGAGCTCCTATCTAGAATCTGGTTTTTGAAAACTTGTTGGCTGGTTCATTTGTTCAGAAAGGTTTCTTCATCACACCTCTCTTCCCCTCCCACGTCCCCCACTAAAACCCATGGAGAGAAGAACTGAGCGTAGATCCACATGGAACTGAGAGCCCCTATCTGAGTCACGTGCCAGCACAGTGGCTGCCCATTAACCTGCTCCCCCAGCCTCATGTGTTTAGGGACTGTCTGGTTTTGAACTGGAGCTAGACATGCCCAACATTTTTATCTTTTGGAATCCAGTAAAAAGCTCCAATGTACATCTGTAAGTCCCATGTGTAAGAATCTCTGGTTCCAGTAAGTGAGATTCAAGGGAGAGAGGAGTGGGAAAAGCCTGGACTGGAGGCAGGAGACTGGCCATGCACCAGCTGTGTGCTTCACTTTCCTTATTTGTAAGTGAGGGGTTTGAACTGCCAGAGCTCCAGGGTCCCGTCCAGCTGACGTTCCAGGACTCCATCTTGAAGTCTGCTTTCACACAGGCTTGTCAGGCTGGTTCAGACAAAACTTCCTTACTACTTTGTGCCCACAATTTAAAGTGGTTTTAACATACTTCTATGCTGCAGTTTGAGGTTTCCCTCCCTTTCCTACCCCTCAGAGGTTGTTTCATTTTACTGGTGCAGAGCACTTGGCCAAACTGGTGATTGCTGATGTTTAAAACTGAATCACTGGCTTGGTGAAGATAGGGCCTTTGAGTAACCTAGACCAGGGCACATTTGTCTGTTTTTCATTAACAGTGTTAACCAAATAGAAATGTGATTCTGTCAGTTCTTCTATAGAACTACTTAAACTTTGAAACATGAGATTGTTAAAAAATTACACGAGAAAATCACCCATCACCATTAAGTTAAAGACTTGAATATCTGAGAGGTCCTACTGCAGTCACTGACCCGCAACACTTTCCTCTTAGCAAAGGACTTCATGCAGGGTAGCCCGATCTTGCAGCATATTTGTGCACCAAAAAGTTGATTTCGAAAGATCCAGCTCTAGTCATCACTGTCACTGCCTGACTCGCTCAACGCAAGTCATTTCTGAGGGTGTTCATGAGCTGGTTGCTTCCTTGTGACCGGCTGGTTCCGTTGGCGATAGCCGGCCTGCTGTTGTAGGGCTGCTGGTGTGAAGGCTGTGGCGATGCGGGGCCATGGTCTTCGCCTCCGCTGCTGGAGCTGTCGTCATCGCTTCCTGAGGAGCTCTCAGAGTCTGAGGAGCTGCTCCCACTGCTGCTGCTCATCTGTTCAATAATGTCAACTTCAGTCCTCAGCTCTCTTTTGATGTCATCATCCAGCTGTGGTCAGGTGAAGGGTTATCTTTCAAGGGGGAAGTTTTGGGTCCAACTGGAGGCTTTGTTGGAGCTCTGAATGGCATAGGTGGTGGTGGTGGTGGCGGTGGTGGAGGCTATGATGGCTGCGGGGGACGAGTGGGCTGCTGTTCCATTCGAACTTGGATTTTACTGCTCCACTCAGCCCTTGTTTTCTTGACCTGAATGCTGCTACT